TTGTTTTCTGTTCATTTTAAGCAGAAGTGACACAAATACCAACACAAAGATGTTTTCATGTTCACAAAGCTAAGATTTTGCCATTTTGCAGAACCCACTCCCACTGAGCATTTTGGTATTTAAAGATTTCTAAGCAACATTGAAAGACATTGGGCTAAAATCAGACTAAATTTGGTCAAAAAGTAAAAGTTTAGCAGATTTTTAACTCAAGATTTGAATCTAGAGATTGGAGTTTAGCCGAAATTAGCATTAATAAATAAATGCTGCCCCTATGGGGGGATTGAGTTCAGGAGCTCTACATTTTTGTACAGGTTTAACTCTAGCCAGTAAGGTTTGATAAACACATTTAATGTAATGATTCATTGTTCTACGATTTTATCACACAATGAATGAATTCACACTTCCATATACATGTATTTGTCTAGGTTGCCAGTTCAATCTCCCGTTCCAGCCATCTTGGGTAACTTGACCCACCTTGCCGATGTTCAGAGAGTCTGGTGGTGCTGGTGCATGGCAGCCCTGCCCCAGGGCAGCTGTGGCTACAATGTAGTTTGCCACCATCGGTGTATGAATGGGTGAATGTCTGAAGTCTAAAGCACTTTGGTGTCCATGTGGACTTGATAAGGCGATATACAGTATAAGTTCAAGCCATTTACCATTTATAAAAAAACATGGTCCTGCTTTGCATCAAATGCTTCTAAGAAAACTTCATTGCAGCAAACCACAGAATACCACTGTCTTCAGTATARATAACTAGATTTCTGTGTAACAAAATGATACAAAAGTAACTCAGTGTAAGGCTTTATGTGAGGTTTGTGTTGTTTTGGATGGCAGAAATCTGCTCTGCGARTAGCAAATACAGACAAAAAAACACCCATGCARCTTGAAAAAATAAAGATATCAGAACTRAGGTTGAAGACAGCACATTGAAGCTAATTCCCTGCCCATCAAACATGCCTGAAGGCCCTGACACTTCCTTCCTTCTAGCCACTACACCTTTTCTRCTCACCACCCTGCAATTAGCTTCCCTAAAAGCTGCAGACTTCCGAGGCTTGGCCCACACTAATTATAGGCATGCATCGCTGCATTCAGCTGCCAAGACTTTTAAAAAAATCAGCCCTTCTTGTTTAAACCACACCTTTTACTCAAGATTGTCAGGAGTCCATTTCTAATGTCCAATTGGGTCTAATATAAGTCCAACTAGAGAGGCCACTTTTTTATCACTCTGAAAACCTGTTTTAAATCAATAGCAGTTTGAGTTAATACACCAAAGGATGTCATCAACTATCTTCAGAAGTCCTTACATGCCCTAGAGTTTTTGCAGACAATATGAAGTTAACTATATATACTATAAATTTTCTTGTTTTAATTTCTAGAAGCTTTCATTTCTGCTGTTTTTGACCAGGTGGTGTCTGTGCTGCTGGGAGGTGGTGATAACATAACCTATTTAAAAGTTGTCATACGAATCTTGTTCCCATGGCCCAAAACTAGAAACAGTCTACAAGTATCCACAACTTGAGCATCACTTCAGTTATTCAGATCWGATGCAACATGAATGATCAAGATATAACCCAGTGAATGAACATTAAGTAAAACTAATAATTACCAAATAAGTTGATGGGGCTCTTCCAAACCAAATACCCTTAGAATAAAAAGGTTCCCCTAACACACAAGCTACAGAAGTTGATTGTCAGTTTTAGCATGAACAGATGCAAATAAATCAGTGCTGTTTCACTGTAATCAAAAAACACAAGWGATGTAACTGACGAAAAATGTTCCAATTTTGTGTCATCAATCACAGAAGGCTTGCTTTTAGTTAATTCATGTCTTTTTTTATTCTTTTTTTGTGTGTTTTCCAATATTGAAGCTTTTCTGGGTCTTTTTCCTCGGATTCCATTATGATTCAAACACAACAGATGGTGCAATCAGAAAGTGACGTGCCTTGACCTTGGAGTTCAGATTGAGTGATTTTTGGATAGTTTTCATGGCACTTTTTCTACAATGCCATTTCTGTCTGTCCTATAAAACTTATACTTTTTAATGATGTTGTGGTCATGGGATTCTGAAGCTGCTTGGAGATGGTCTAACATGGATATGTGTAATTTTCTTTCTGAGCTCCTCAAACAGATCTAACCATTGCTTTCTTTGGTCCATGTTCAATGTGGTGCACACAACAATACTAAAGAGTGGGATGTTTGTTAATAGCTGATTAAAAGCTTGAAACCTGCAGATCAAGCACTTAGTTTTAGGGATGTCCCGATCCAGATTTTTTGGCTCCCGAAACAATCAGATTTTTTTTTTCATGATTAGTCTTTCCGATACCGATCCGATTGCTTTATGTCTTTCCAAGTGACAAGGTTGGTAGTATTAAATCGAGCCCTGCTGTTCCCACCATGAGAAACATCCAGTTTGCAGATTTTGCACGATGCAGTTTCACTATCATTGTTTTCCATTGAAAAGTGTTCCCACACTGGGGACATGGTTGCAAACTTCTTCTTCTTTGCGTCTTGATTTCTTAACAGCAGTTATAAAGCATGATGATGCTGAAAACTGTCGCGAAAACAGGATCGGCCCAATCACATGACTAAATCTGATTCTACCCCATTTTCAATAAATGGCCATACCGAGACTGAGTGTCTGATCGGGACAACCCTACTTAGTTTGAAACATGACTACAATGCAAGGTTAATAGTAAGGGTATTAACACGTTTGTGTACATCATCTAAGTTTGCATAGTGTCTCTTATAAATGTACAAGATGTTGTTTCTGCAGTGAAACAAGTTCCCAAATTTTAAAATCTTACACGTTCACAAACATTTGATTTGTCTCACGTAAGAAAATTTGCTGAACAGCTACAGTCTCTGACAACAAAATGCACAACAAGCCATATATCTGATGAAAATCTGAAAATCATTTCCAACTTTCTGTTTTTTTTAAAGCCAAGTAAATTTCTGCTCTGAATGAGGTTTGTGTTAAGATAAGTGCATCCTGTTTTTCTGCGGTTGCTTGCTGACAATGGAATGCTGGCTTGTTTACTGCCTTWAGGAAAACTGCGACTCTGATTGCACTTGGGAGTGAAGTCAGGGGATGCCTCTGTTAGCTAAACATCCTGTTGCCCTGTTTAAATACACTATTGTGTGGTGTTAAGTGTGTGAAAAACACAGGAAATGCATGAGGGTCATCCGCATTTGTGAGATGAGAAAGCAGGCTGACTTCCTGAACTCTAAATACTCTGAAGGATAAAGGCATGCAAGTGGGAAAATTCATGGTCATAGCTCTTTTTTTCCTGTTCTATTTCCAACAAAGAACACTTTATTTGGACTTGTAAAATTGATCAATGGCAAATAGGCTGAGTTAAAAAAAAAAGCAGTCACAGTTTGTGATGGACAGTATCTTCAATAACCATAAGGTTCATATGCAGAATGAGTGCGAAAGAAGTGCATGTTACACTTTTATCAAGGTGACACATATTTTAGAAAGAATGACTCAAAAAAAACTTGTCACCTTTGCTCTTAGATGCTCAGCTGCAGTACACAGCTCAGACAAGAACAAAAAAAATAATCAATAAAGGAAGTCCACAGTGGTTGCACATGGAAGGCTGTGCATACAAGAAACACGAGGGCTATTTTATATAGCTGCAACTATAAGGTTGTGGTAAAAGCTGCGTGACAGCCAGAGAAAAACAAAGAAACTCCTCACACAACATGCAGTCACTATGACAACCACACAGAATCATTTAGCCTGATCTCTTGCCTTTTTCTGCACGGCACAGAAATCCAATAGCATTTAGGTCTTACTCAACCCAGCTACAGATTCACTCTGTGGGTCCTTGTATTTGCAAATAAGCTTCATAGATCCATTCATGGATTTTCAGAGGGACTTCCAAGGCAGTTTTATTTTTAAAAGTGCTCTAGGCGAGGCCAAGTGAGACAGATTTGTTGTTCACAGAGCTCCAAGTTGTAGTTACCGACTCTAAAATGAATTCGACATAAAAAAAAATTCAAAACTTTTTTGCAGCTTATAGATGAAGATGCTCATAGAAAAGTTTGAAAACATAAAGGTTATCCCTAACTATATTCTGAAATGCAGGTACGCACTTAAATTAAACAAAGCACTTTAATCTGGATAATTTGCTCATAAAATATGAGTTTAGGCAGCAACACATCAAACTTGTGAGACTTATTGATCCTAAAGTGCTCTTCCATCCGTTATGTTTACCCATTGTTAGTCATTTTGGCWGTTGCCATAAGTAAACAAACACATGGTAGTTGGTAGTCATTCACAAATTTTGCAAACATTTTTTTTTTAATTTAAGGACATGATTATTATGGGGRAAAAAATCGATTTGATTTTGAGCACCTTCAATATTTATTATTTGCCATAAATGACTCCATTACAGAAATTCCACCCCCTCAGATAGATGTTTTGTAACCTATTTATTAGCTCCTATTAAATTCTGGTTGCTACTTTCATTTTACATTCTTGTGTGAAAAGAAACATATCTTTGTTGTAGCAAACAGTGACCGTGTGACTGATGTAATTCCACGTGCTGTGCGGCTCTGTTGAATATCCTCAACATTTACACACGATTTTGCATTTAATACGAGAAATTGGTCGACTGCGACACCTCCACTTCATGAACGAAAGGGGTAAAAATTTGTTAATGGTTGTGTKTACATGTATCCTTCCTCCAGATTATTTTCTACTTCGCGTGGTATCACACAGACGCTTCCCTCTTGTATCAATGCGTGATTGAAGGAAACTTCTTTTGGGAAGTGCGGGGACTATTTTACTTGTCCTCCACACGTCTCATTTGTTAAATTGTCAAATACGAATACAGCGGAACGTAAATTATGTTAATAAATGGAACAATTTAACTAACCGGATAAAACTATGATCTGGTTGAGTTTATTTTACTTCAACGTTAGTTTTTTCCACGTCGCGGAAGGATCTGATTTTCTCAAGCGAGGGGTCTACACATCCGCCCAGTTTTCCGATGTTTCTCTCTCCCCCTTCTCCCGACGAGTTGAAAATGGACTTCGATAAAAGCAGATGTCCTCCAACTTCTCAAGGAAATTACTCGCCTGTATATTATTTACTCTACCCGTCAGCGTAAAAAAAAAAAAAAACTGAAAAGTGTTTATTCATTTCGGAGATCGTTTTGGATGCCTTTACTGCAAATTTCTCGGACACGTTGACGGAGCTACGCTCGCGGCACGGCGCTTTTTCAAGTGTCCTGGACCTAAAGTTGGCAAATGGATGCTCGGCATACATAACCTACCAAGTGTTACAGCCTGTTCGTTTTTATTTTTATTATTTTTTGGAGGATTCATATACAGTTTTGCAAAGCGAGGACCTTGCTTTTCTTTGACGGAGGATGATGTTGGCTCATTTGTTGTGGTTGGATTTTACTTCCAGGGAGGACAAAATGAATCAACGATTGTCATTCCTCCTCCTCGCTGTTTAACGTTGCTGCTCGCAGGCAAAGAGCTAAACTAGCTTCGCTTTGGTGTTCACAGGAACGCTTAAGTTAGGCATGCCTGTTTGTACACCGCTTACCAACTATCCCTGAACAAGAGTGGTCGTTGTTTGCGAAGGAAAATGGTGATTTTTCTGGTATTTTGTCCCGCCGTCGCTGCGTCGTCGATGCTATTGCTAGGGTTTGGATCCCCGTGAGGAAATAAAATGAGTGAAGATTCAACAAATCCAAACAACGAGTGAGTACAGACATTTGTACATGTTTTACTAATCACAAATAACACGATGGAGTTTCACTAAGTGGGTTATTTATCTGTGGATGTTTAATATTAGCCCACGCTTTGCACTATTAAATATTTCTAGCTATGCTAGTTATTCATCATTGTCCTTCATGTTTGTGTTTTCACATATAACAGACGTGTTGTAGTTTCTGTGCAAGCTAATAGAAGGCACTGACTTTAAGGCCAATACTTAACAGCCTATGTCCACAGTAATGAAACTATTTAATGTATCGGACTAGTTTGTTATTCTGACACAGCTAACATACATTCTCGGGATATTTATATGAGGCCGTTGACTGTACTGTATGTGCGGTGGAAGCTAATCTTAATGCACAGATTAGGACTCGTAAACTCCCCGGTTTAAAATATATTTTGTTTCTTGCGTCGAGTACATCATGATCAGATGGCGTTACTTTGACAGTGTGTGTTTGTGTGTGTGAGTGTGTGTGTGTGTGTGTGTGTGTGTATAGAACTGCTGTCCGCCATGATTTCGGCACGAAAGCACGGATTAAAAAACCGTGCAGTTTTTATGTTCCGATCCAGTCATTGTTATTAATCTCACTCTTTTCTAAAACGCTCTTTGTGCCTGTTGCGGCATCGAAGTAGCGAACGTAGCAATTTTTTTTTCTCAATCGCACACATTTACATATCACCGTGTCCATTCATAAAAAAAAAAAAAAACGGCCTCGCATTCACGCCCTAATCCAGCACAAAGCCGCAGACGCGGACCGCAATGTGTGCGTGTTGTGCTTTCYTAGTGCACGCTCAGTTTTTTAGTATTGTTTTGTGCTGTTTTAATAGGGCCGATCCCCCCTCCTCCTCCTCCTCCTCCGTGTGAGCCCTTGTTGACAGTCAGTGAGAAATATCTGCTTCGGGAGGTGCTGCGGTCACATGATCCCCTCCATTCATAAAGTACCTGCCTGCCCATTCACAGCACTGCACACTGTTTCGCATTGCACCGACGATCCCATTGTCGCTAAATATTATACAGTACTGCACAATTAGGCTGCTTTTTGAACCTTTATTTTTGCTTTAATCTGCCTCGTTAACAGACAGCTCTCTCCTGTATTTCCCAGTTTTTTTTTCAGTATTTCATTTATCACATACAGGAAGTTAAATACAGCCGTTTACTGGCAATATGGTGTATTTTCCCCTCCATCCCATACATCTGTCCTTTGTGAGGTTGACTGATTGAATGCACGGGCTTTTGTCCTTGAAGTGCACTTGTCTGTTCTTATGTAACACATTTTTCATGCAGTTCTTTTTCCTCATATCAAGCCAGGCCAGGCTGAGAGAAATTAAACCTACCCTATGTGTTGCTAAAGAGGGATTTTTTTATCCAAACTTATTGGTGCTTTTAGTCGCGTAACACCCTTGGATGCTGGAAGAAAAGATGAACCCTCTGATTTTTTTAGTTGACGGAGAGGAGGGGGAGAAAGTGTAAGCATTTTTCATGTGTCTCTTCAGTAATTTCAAAGACCCCAGGCTCCATTTTAGAAAATGTCTGCCATAGGTCTACGTATTATCAGTGGTGTTTAAACTGCAATGCTCGGTTTGCTTCACACTGTGTGATGGCAGCAGCTAAGATAATGAAGTGGTCTGAACAATGTTGCTATGATTCCACCACTTTTCTGCCAGTTGTATGATTCATGATATTGAAGTGAACAGAATACTAAGCAGGAGCCTGAATCGTATTATAGAGACGTTTTAAAACTGAATGTCTATAAAAACAATCAGTCTCCATTCTTTTTCCGAGCATCAAGGGTAACAGTTATGTTTATTTGTATTTTTCATACACCCTCTTTTCATTTATGACATTCAGCTGACTATTTCTGATAAGGTACATTTTGTTCCAGGATGAATCAATTTGCTAATAAATAAAAAAAAAATGAAAACTCATGTTTGTGTAAATGCCGATTATTTAAATGTCCACTAACACCCGTAAGGAAAAGCGCAGTTGGTCTTGTTTTTAGCTTGCGTTTTCATGTTTTAAATCACCATAGGATTTGATCCGACATGGCACTCGAGTGGTTTTGTCTGAATGAKAGTCGGTAAGCCAAGCTATGTATACACAGCACACCCACCCTCAGTTGAGAACATGTTACTTGGCCTTGCTGCAGTCATGTTCACAAGGCTAAAATGACAAGAGTGTGGCAAAAAGCCTTGTGTGMGATTTAGGTTTACGTCTTGTCTGGCATGTGTGGAGAGAGCGGTATGAGGCAAGGTTTGTGTGAACGCTGTATGCTTAGTGGGARAAATTTATGAAAGATTGTTCAAATAGTGTTGTTGTAACTGTCAGCTGAAATGTGATCTTAAAACAATATTTTCTTCTTAAGACCATACTCATATTTGTGTACAGTACTTTTTCTAGGTTGTTACAGGTAGTGCTGGGCGATATACCGTTTTGTACCGAATTCCAGTTTTTATTTTTGTTATGATATGAGTGTTTTGAATACGGGACATTCCGGTTAAAATAGCGGAGCATTTCGTCGTGGCCGCCAGTGAACTGTTGTTTCCCGGGGGACATTTTTCCTTGCTGCACCGYTATGTGCGTTAGCATGCTAATGTTTGGAGCAGCTAGTTGCAGCCGCGGGTGGCGATTCCGCTGCGTATATATTGACTGATGTTTAAAAAACATCCCGTTTTCGCCGTCGCTGAATGTAGTAAACACCTCTTCAGTGACGTGCACAGTTAGATTTAATGCAGTTAGTTAATATGGAGACGTTATGCTGATGGAGACTTAACGTGGTTCTATTGTGAAAAGCCCGCAGGAAGTAGTTCGTAGTGGAGCTGGAACTGACTGGTGTGCAGGGTGAGTCGTGCTGATAAGCTTTAATAAATAACATAAAACAAATCCGATCATAATCTTTTCTTAACCCTCCTCCTTCACGACTGGACCAAAATGCGTGACTACTGTCTCCAACCACCAGTCARAGAACAGACACAGAGGAGGGAAACAGCGACACAGACAGARGTACAGTAAAAGAAAAAAAGTCAATAAGCAGGGTTTGTACATTTTACTATCAGCTGAGCTGTGATGAAAAGAAAAATACCATCAAATACCGTGAAACCAGTGAAAATGTTGAAAATACCGTGATATAAAATATTGATCATATCGCCCAGCTCTAGTCACAGGATACTTTACTGTTTGGAGTTGCAACCAACAGTTAAAATACACTATTTTGCTTGCCAAACTACAGTTTTGTCCAAAGACATTATAATAATAAAAAAAAGTCAAAAATGAGCCAAAATTCTTTTTCTGCTTTACTCCATAATAGATTTCTGCCTGCTTGATTGTAGCCTGTCATTGGAGAAGTTGTACAGGTCCTCATAGTTACCTACATACTTGATTGAACATGGGTTTGGCCTCATTGTTTGAGAATCCCGCRTTACTGAGGTATTGTTCTTTTCCAGTCAGGTGATCCTCAGTGATTCCTTTCTCTGCGCKCTTCCTATCTGATGATTGATTTGACATTTCAGTGTTCTAGCTGCCAATGTGGGTGTCTCGATCTTATCACCTGTGGGCTGTTTTCACTCCCAGCGCTTTTGGAGAGCGTTCCAAATGCATACTTCTGAAACAGCCCCCATCTTGTCCTGAAACGTCAAAAGGAGACGACTGCTGCAGCTATTAAAGCTAGTGGTTCATGGCCTCTTTAATTGTCTATATCTCGTGACCCTTCTTTTAAGCTTAATAATTTCCTGGACCTTGTATTAGATAGCATCATTTGGGGTTAAGTCTCTTTATTGGTATAGCCTCTGTGAGTATTAAATAATCGTAGCTGGTTGGGTCTTAAGTTACAGGCCAGTCTTATGGTGGACAAGTTCAGCTGAGCTGAACATGTCTTTGGTTTTGCTTTTGTATTCTTTTGGGAAATTGTTGGTTGCGATCAATGTGGTTTACAGAAGCTAATGAAATATGCTACTTAACAATTAAAATGTCTTGGATTTTGAAGGGTTTCTGCATCACTAATAACACTGATTATAATCAGAAGACATATGATGTTTGTCATTGAGACAAACTAACAAAATATAACATGGCGTGCAAAGAGAAGGACTGTTCCATTCCCATGGTCAGATTAATGCTTGGATTCTGTGTATTTTAAACCTGAGCTACTTCCTTCTTATTATTTTCATTTCCCCTTCAAGTATTTTAGAAGCTGGTGTAAAATGTCAGCTGTGAACTAGAGATACTTTTTTTCCTTAAAGATAAAGGCCTGATGTGTACACCATACAAAGTTTAGACTTTCCTTTATATGAGTCTGTCTCCATCACAGCATCCGCATAGCAGGGGGCTTGTCTTTATTTCTTTGTCAAAGAGAGTTTCTGAAGTTCACAGACCATGTYTAAATGCATCTAAAAGGTGCTTTTAGCACTAAGTGTCTGAATTGTGGATATTGTTTTCAGTTGTGCTTCATGCGGGAGCATGAAGGCTGGGCCTTGTTACGAGCTCTTTGCTGCAGCTGGGCTAAGATGGTTCTTTCCTGTTAGGCCGCAGACAAAAAGGCGCAGATGTAACTTCTAAACTGCGCCTTTGAGTTTCCATACACTTTGAAAACAGGAACAGATTTTTTTCTGTCTCTGTCTGTGTGCACTCACACTTGTGTGTTTATTTTTATGGAAACAATTGGCTGGCATGTGTTTCTGGGAAAGACGGGACCAAATGAAATTAGTAAATGTAACAGAAGCACAACTCTTATAAGTTCTGTATCAAATGAATAGCTTTGCTAAGTCCTAAAAAAGGAAATTATAAGGTTATTCAATCTTGAGTTTGTATCTAAAATGTTGTTTTTTTAATCACATATTCCTCATGCAACAGGCGTTTAAGTGTTTCTTGATTTCTTAAATCCCAAGACATGGTTCAGCTCAGTCAGAGCCACTGAAGTGAAATTTTAGATTCATAAAACATCAGATAGTTTGAGTTCATATACACTGCACAAGAATAGCAGTTTTGCCTAACA